ACTTCCATGCAAGAATAGTTGAGCTCAACCTCTGCTCTTTAAAGGAAGGGCAAAGAATCCTTTTAAACTATTGTAAAGAACTGCTACTTTTCAGGTTGTTGCCACGGATATTGGACACATAGAATACAATGACTGCTATCGAAGAAGCATGAGAGGTGAAAATTTCCATGAACACATAAGAGAACAGATCGCATTTCTGATCTGTTCTCAGAGAATAAGTAGAATCTCTCTTGCAGAGACACGTAGTAAGTCTAGGACTGGTTTTGATTTTAATGATGGCAGCAATTGTGCAGAGAATACAGGGCAGGATGAGCAATTCAGTATATTTTTAATTTGTTTTAGGCATAAAATCAGAATTCCGCTGCAAATGCTGGATTTACATTAAATAACAAGTTGTGTGTGTTTGTGTGTGTGTGAGCAGGAGTGGGGAGAGAAAGTTCTAGGATGCTTTGAATCCATCCCAAAGCAGTAGCTTGGGCTCTCTCTTACATTATTATATAGTTATCAGTGGATGTGTATTTAAAGCAACTTCAGAGTTTACAATAATTACTTAAGAGGGATACATAACTTGTACAGATGAATAAACCATGCAGGGTTTGAAAAATGGAAAGGTTTGTCAGACTGTGAGTAGCATTTCTGGTCAGCAGAACTGTGATCCACTGATCACTAGGGAGATTCCAAGAGGTTTCCAAAAGGAATAGAACTGAAAGAGAGAAGGAGTCAAGAGATTTTGCAGCAGGGAAAGGGACAGGTAAAACAAAAAGCAGTTATAAATACATCTTAAAAATACTTCAAAATTATTCATTTTATTCACATTACTATTCACACTACTTTTTTGCCCCTCTGAAGTACATTCCAGATAAATGTAAACAGCAGGACAAGTAACATTTCCAGGGTCATCAACTGCAGTGATTTCATAAAGATCATTAAGTAAGCAATCTCTCTCTCAGATGTATTCTCATATCCTTCCTCTCCACTTTCAGATACACGTGCCATAACTCAAGCAAGGCGTAAGAAGTATATCTATATATATATCATAATATAACTTCCAAACTTTACAGTCAGCCTTAACACAAAATTTTCCAGCCAAGAGGAGTTACAGTACAAGCTTTCTGTCTGCTGAAATGTCTCTGCTGTTAGGTTTCTTGTTTCCTAGCTTGTTTTGAGTATGCTTAAAGTCTTCATTGTGAAAGTCAAGTTATCATCAATTTCTTCTTGTAGTGCAAAGCAGAGAATTTCTGAACATGGGGCTTGAAACATTAGTTTCATTCAGTCAGGAGAAGGTACCTACATTTCTTTTCACTTAAGTCATTCCCTTCCTCTTTATTGCCTCCACATCCACTTCAGGGACAGGTAGCTTAATTTCTATCATCTGTAGCTTTACAGAGTATTAGCTTTGCTACACATGCCAATGATTGAGCTATACTAGATGTACTTGAAAAAGCCTGCAACCTACAGTGCTCATTCAGGAAACTCAGAGTGAAGTAAATCCATATGTGTTAGAAAGTCAGTGTTCAGATAGGACTTATGCTCTCTGTTTCTTGGGGCTTTCATGCACAATCCTTCTTTGAAGAGCTGCAGCAGTGATAGGATTTTTGATAATGAAATGTGTAGTATGCTCATAGTTCAACACTGACATTTTGATGCTTTAAAAAAATGTTTTTGTTTGGTTAGACTTTCAGAAGATTTTCCTACCCTGACAATTTCTTTAAAGGACTCTTAAATAGAAATAATATATTTAAATAAACAGAAAGAAGGCCTAAGATTCTGTGGTAGAATTCAGTTAGAAATGCTGAATTTTCTGTAAATATGTGTAACATTGTCTGCAAAACAATCCTAATCAAGATAGGTTTTTCACTGAATTCTCTAGCTGCTCCAAAGAATTTGAAGACTTTCTCATAGTCTGTGATTCAGAAGCCATCATATTTGTCACTAATTCATGCATAGTCAGCATCTAGATAGGCTGTCAGATATATGTGATATATACACGAAATAGAACCAGGAAACCACAGTGTCTAATCTTATTCTCTTTACTTGTATAAAATCTAACCATTTCATCTCACAGGAATAAAGAAAAGCATATCAAGTAGGATTTTACATAGCTGCATTTCATATACAGCCTGACAACTGGGCCAGGCTAGTAGCTGTAATTTTAACGGGTTTGCCATTTATACCACTGTATTTCAACAGCAATTTACAAAGTAAACATTGAGTAATGCTAAAATAAAATCTCTGTTTAAACACCTGAAACGTTTAAGGCAATACACAGAACTAAAAGAGATATAAAATGGAGTGAGATGGCATTTTCTAGTTACAGTTAAAGCATTGGCTATGTGATGCAACTTCTTCTAGGTTGTTCTTCATGAGATGTTCCTCAGAAATCCAGTCTTAACTTTGCAGGAATATGAAATAGGATTTGACATCTAAGTTTATAATACTGTGCCTTTTCAGAGTAACTATTCATGTATTTATGTTAGTTCTCTTTTATAACAGTGCATTAAAGTATGCAGCTTCAGTTGACTACCCCTGGCTTTGAGACTTTGCCATTCATTTCATGTACCACACCCAAGAGATTAGCTAAAATAGCCTGAATTTCCTGTGTTCATTTAGGTGGTCATTTTTGAAAATTTCTCAGGAAACACTGTTTTGTTCCCCAATTGTCCATTTTTTCTACCAGTCCAGGTATGTTTAGGCAGCAGTCATTCAAGTGGTCTGAGGGAAATTTTTCAGTGGAAGATACTTGGTCTTACTGTCACAGTTCAGTCTCCTCACACTCAGTTGAAAGCAGAAAATGATAAATGCTGTACCCTGGCCAATATTCACCATTCAGTGAATGGAGAGGCTGCCGTCTCACATGTCAGAGCGGACAACTGTCTTGAAGGGTGGGTACTCTCAAGCTGTGGCTACAACTTTAACTTAATCAGACTTCTTGGAAATGAATCATAGTCCCTTTGAGGATGCAGGTTCCTGCTCGTGCCCTGGTGTACCGAGCAGCTGCCATTGAATCATTTTCATCAGCCACTCCTTCATGTTAACCTTAATTTGCTAGCCATAAAAACGGTAAGAAAGTACTGCCTCCCAACCCTCTTATTGATAGTTCTCTATTTAAAATACCGCACAGTATTTTTCAAACTTTATTATTATTTGATTAAATTGATTTAACCAATGACCTCTACTTATTTATCTCTTTATTTGTTTTAAAAATGAAATTTGATTCACAGTTGCTTTAGAGCAAGACGGAGACAATCTGAAGGTCTGCCTAATGTTACATACATGTAATTTTTTTTTTACTACTTGGCTTCTTTTTTATATCTTGTTGTAATTTTCTTAGTTACCTATTAATTAGTGTGCATCTTTGGGAAAACTACTAAATTTCATTAAACGTCAAGGTACCAATCTACAAAACAGATATAACACATCATCCTGTATCAAGCTGATGATGCTTAATTGTGTTTATACAACATCTGAGTTTCTCAGGTGAAAACACAGTGTGCTGTTAGATTACTGTTATTCTAAACTTTGCAAGTGAAATCCAGTCTTCTTTCTTAGGTCTACTGCGAATACAAACTATTGTCATTAGTTCTGCTGCATGCACACAAAACTGATCAAAATGATAGAAAAATCAGGTCCAGTACACTAGAAATTAAGACCATTTTAGTAGCTTGAAATATAATATTATTGTAACAGTAACACAGAAGACATTTGACAGGTGTAGAGAAGATCAAACTTCTTTCTGTTTCAAATGACTAATCAGAGAAATTCCTCAGAACCTCCAGAGCTGAGAGCAGTTGCATCCATTTTCAATTACTTGATTTCTTTTCTTCTTCCTTTTTTTTTCCCCCCAAAGAAATTAGGAACAGAAGCTTCTAGTTCAAACTGAAAACATGTCTTAGTGTGCTTGGAATTCATCCAAATAGCATCTGCCACAGTATTTTGTCTATCCCTAAACGATTTTCTTTTCATGATAAATTTGTACGGTATGATACAATTAAATGCACTTCCCATGGCGCATCGAGGAAGTCTGGCTGTCTCTTTGGATAACTTTTTCAAACTATTTAACATCAGCAAGTCTGCTTAGCATAATATCATAAAGGGATACACAATATTTCACATATATGTGTTGCTATGTTTCTCCAAATAAATAGTTCCTAAATATAGATTTCAAAAGTAAAATTTTAGCATACTGATTGAAGCCGTAGAACGGTGCTGCTTAGCCATCTTTATAATATTTTCTTTAGAATATTTTCTGTAACATACATGCAATGTCTAATAGGTTACCCTGGCTCATCTAGAAATTGCGGAAGATAATTTTCTCTGCTTTAAATAACCACATTTATCTGTTACAAAATGGAACATAAGGCCTTTCAGTCAAAACTTATTAATTCATCAGAACTGGAGATACAGCAAGGGTCCCTCTTTATTTAATTCAATTTTCTGTCTATGGCAATACTGACTACCAAAATTACTCCAAAAAATTAAATCGTTCTGATTTCAGTCACAACCAACTCCTGCCTGGGTAGGAAAGATGAGTGCTTACTGCTGGTTTTCGTTTTTAAGAAAGAGGCGTTGCCCTGTGCCACTGACCAGCTTTGGTGGCTGCCCGTGCCGGCTGCTGGGGCCAGCGATGGCTGTTCCCGATGGACACTCGGTCCGGGCGGTGGCAGGACCTCGCCAACCCTCCAGCCGGCGTGAGGAGCGTCTGGCAAGCAGGCCTGGCCCGGCCGATGTAACACTGTTTGTAATGAGAAATCTAAACAGGGAATGGCAGCGAGGCATGACAGGAATGTGTTTCCATTGGAGAAGCCCGTGCAGAGAAAAAGCATAAGCAAAGCCATGTCCAGAAGGCCTTTCAGCTGGCCAGCACGGAAGACTGATGTTATTGTACACGGGCTGTCACGCTGCCAGCCCTCCCTCACGGGTTTGTTTTCTCTCATGCTCTCCCTCTCCCTCTCCCTCTCCCCTCTCCCCTGCCTTCCTCCCGGGGCCGGCTGTTTGCTCAGGTGGACAGTGACACCGTTTGGAACGAGCTGCACTCGGCCGGGGCGGCACGCATGGCGGTGGGCTGTGTCATCGAGCTGGCGGCCCGCGTGGCCTCCCGGGAGCTGAAGGTGAGGTCCGGGCCGCGCCGTGGGTGGGAGCACCGGGCGGGCCGGGAGCGCGGGGGGCTGAAGGCAGGCGTTGTTCCAGCGCTCTGCTCCGGGGAGGGTGGCGGGAGGGGAGCCGGGAGGGCGGCCACGAAGGTGTGGCAGTGCATGAGCTGCAGCAGCGGTGGGTAGTTCCAGTGCAGAGGTGCTGCAGCCCGAGGTGAAATCATTCAAAGTATTCGCATCTCCGGCGGCGCTGGCTTTGAAGTCAGTTTTTTTGTTTGTGTTTTTTTTTTTTTTTTTTTTTAATATGGTTTTAATATGGTTATTTAGTCACGTGCATAACCTCAGGATACCACCCAGCGAGAGGGGAGGCAGGCAGCAGGCCAGGAGGAAGAGGAGGGCGATGGCCCAGGAGGTGCCCAGCTGCCAGGCTGCCTGCCCCGCGCGCTCCTCCCGGACCGCCTTCCCGCTCCTATCTCCGTGCCGCGCGATCTGCAAGGCATGATGTACGAAACCCAAATTATCCCCAGTCTAAACAATTTATAAAAGCTCCAGACCTGACAGACTTTGACATTTTATTTGGTAGTTTAACGGCCCCATTTAAAGGTACACCATATGCAGCCAGAGTGCACGCTTGACCCAATAAACATTGTTGGAGCGAACATGTCTCCTTAATGAAACTGTTTATTCACTTTCCAATCCACATACTAATGGATTCAGTCCTATTTCCGGAATCAAGATGGAAATAAATATTTTAGAATTAGCATGGCATGATGATTTTTAAAGTTCTGAATTTTATTTGAACTTGAGAACTTTCTTCCTGTATATCTTTTATTTTAGTCAAAGTATGTTAGCTATTTATTTGCAAGTGGGTACATTCATTTATGTACATATATGGATAGATATATAATATATAGGTATATAAATGACAGCACCCTCAGGTGAAATGCAGTACTGTAGCTCTGACACAATTGAGTGCAGTTACTAAACTTTCATGTTCAGACACTGAAATGCTTAGCCAAGTACTACACAAAATGTACAAATTTTGAAATCTCCGATCAAGAACACGTAGCGTCATATGGGATCCTCTTGTGCATCCTGCCTCATGGGTGCTTCATCCTCTTTAAGATTTTTTGGGCACAGTAGGATACATAACTCACTGTGCATTATTCCCACCCAACACGACTAATGAAAGTGAAGAAGGTTTTCTTTTATCTCGTTTTTATCTTTGGCAACTGTAGGACACAAGGCAGTCTCTAAGGCAGTTTAAAAGTAAGTTTTGATAAGAATAATGTGTATGCACTGCACTTGACATGAGCAGGAGTCTGCTGCAGAATGTTTACAACTTACCTATATGTTTGTAGTGTTTTCCACAGTGTGAATGCTCTTGCTTATTTATGTGTGTGATAGCTGAAAAGAATCAAACATTAGCCATTGTGAGATTTCACTTACTATTGGTGTTGCAGTAGTCTGTAAAAAGATACTTTATATTTAAATGTTTTGTATTTAATAGCACTAGTATGTGGTTTACTATAACATTGTTGATCCTAAGTAGAATTTTTTTCCACAATGCAGAGAATCGCACCAGTCTCATGCAACTTGTAGTTGAGACGTAGGAAAAGTAATTGTTCAACAGATATGCCCAGGATTTGGTTTATAGCAAGAAAACAGAAATGGAAAGGATTTGCTATGAACTAGAATTGGGAATACTCCTGCCATTCCTACAGGTGTTTATCTAACGTGCTCCTAGACTTCCAGCATGAAGCCCAATGACTTACATGGCAGTATGGCATCTGAATGAACTATCAATCTGCATGTGGTGTTTTTAATTTAAGGTTACGGAAAGGTTATTAATGCCTGACTGACAGAAGAAAAGTATGCTAGAAGAAGTTCTGTAAACGCAATGATTTTGACATTAGCTATTTTGTCAGTCTTCCTATGCTTGCTTTGTTACTTCATCCATACAAAACTAGGGTTTGCTAGCAAGTTTTCTCGCAATACCCTCATATGGTAAATGGCATTAGGGGGGATTTTTGTACTGTATTCTGGAGTTTTCTACATGGTGTTCAGGATGAAAATGTAGGTAGCTGTAAGATTTTAGACCCAAGATCTGTATGTTGCAGTTTACCTTTATGCCTTTACGTGTTCCATTTCCATCTTGCTGCCATTTTTTCTCTAGAAAAATAAGTGTTGCATTGAATAGCTGTTTGTATTAGGGAAAATACCAGTTCTGTAGGGTGCTTGTGAGGATCTGAGGGGAAGAAAGTGAAGCTGACCGCTTTCATGTGCATTCACTGAGTAAATATGCATGTGAAGTAACCATTGGAGGCCTGTACTGTGAGCACTGAGTGGGAGGATTAAGCTCTGATGGGAACCTGGAATGATCTGCTACAGCCTCAGAATTTTTGGATGACAAAAAAAGCACCTTCCAAGAATTGTATGCAAGCTATCGCAGCTCTGCAACTTGTAAACAGCAAGATGAGAGCAGTAGAGAAACACACTGTAGTTGTTCCCTGGATGTTTATCATTGAGGATTGCTATCAGATGGTGTGCTGTCAGTTTGGTGTAGTCTTAAGAAAAACGGTAAATTATGAGACAGGGCATACTGATTTCTCTGAAATTCCACTGAGAAGAGTTGCATATTGTGAAGTTCACAGTGGCAGATTTACAATACACAGAAAGGACTAACCACAGAGCAGTGCTTCAGATTGCAGCCAAGGAGGCAGTGGATTATCTACCCACTGCACTGGAGAATCACAGATGCCTTTTTCTGAAACAGCCATGGTGATGTTAGGATCATGTCAGAGGAGATCTATCTAGTGTTGACAAGGTTTTGAGACAAGAAGCCTCAGGAATGGGATGCCTAAGTGTTTAATTTAACAAGTGCTTTTCTGACATGAGAATTATCAAATTTGTCAGTGTAGTTAGGTATCGGCAGCCCAGATATTTCTTACATCTTTATGAATGAATATATATGTTTTCATGAAGTCTAACATGGTTTTCCTAAAGTTAAATTATTTTATAGACATGAATTCAATCAATTTAAAACTGAAATTTTTTACTGTACTTCTTATCTAGAGTGTAGAAACTAACAAACATAAAGTGTCCTGTATTGACTGGCATCTGACATTTAAAGGTTTTTTCAGGAAGGACCGGGCATTTCAATTTCCATGCTTATTGCTTGGTCTCCACTCATATCCCTTGCTATTGCATAGAGTGATAGTCATAGGTTGGAACTATAGGTACATACTGCTAAGAAAAGAGTTGAGACTACAAAATAAACCAAGAAAGTCTGCAGAACAATTGTGAGATTCACTACAGAGCTGGGCATGAGTCAAACTCATATGCAAGGGAAAGGTTTTTTACTTTGTTCTGAATTTCCTGAGACTATCAGTCCCGTTTCACACAAGTCTCATTGAGAACAGCAACGTGTTGTTTATCTGATTTGGATGGTGTTCAAAAACTGACCAGGAGTTAAGAGTTCTCTTCACTGTAGTTCAAACCCCTTGTGAGACATCAGATTTCTTTGATCTCTTTGACTAATGAGGAAAGCATCAATATTACAGTACTAGGGATGTAAAACAATTTGGTTTACTGAAATTCTGTTGCTGCCACAATAGTAAGGTATTGTGGTGGTGGCGGTTTGTTTGTTTGTTTTCTTTGTTACTGTTGTTGTTTTTTAATCAGAACAAATTTTCTCTTCTCTGAGGAGTCAATCTAGATGGTTTTTACTTGATTACATCCAACTGTCAAAACTAAGCATTTTGGGGGGTTGCTTAACAATATAATGAGCACTCGTGGATATCCATTTGATACACTTTTGAGGTAATATTTAATGGAGAAAAAAGAATTACACCAATGATATATAAAGTACTATACGTGTGATGTTATACTGAATTGAATGCTATGCTTTTGCTTTTTTTGCGAATTTATTTACATGTCTGATGAATGTCATCTTGGCAATATTACAACAGGAGATGAGCCTAAGTATTGCATGAAGGTTACCCTTTTTTGAGGTTTTTACAATTAGAAGATCTGGTGATGCACAATGAGGTATTTATGTTATATGGAATCGGTACCACATCTCTCCTGTCTGTCTGTTTTGTACATCTACCTTTGCTCCTTTCTAATTTCCCCAACAAATTTATGTAGATAGCTTTTAATAGTCTGCTGGCTGGCCACAGATCTTTAGAAGAGGGAAGTATATGGATCTGGGTGGATAGAATTCCACCAGTCATTAGCTATATCCAATAAAAAATTTTATCAGATTAGAGAAGTCTTATGATATATTCCTTAGGTCTTGGAGAAGAAATACAGATAGTGCCCTGCATATGATTTTTTGCATGCAGTATAGCTCATGAACTTGGCTTATGAATCATTGTCTCTAGCCTCTGCCTAATGACCACACTTTCAGAGAGAGGGTCCTAAAAGATCTGCATCTGCAGAGAGAGCATTTCTTTCCTGAAAGTGTCTGCTAAGGATCTCATTCCTCTCATTGCCACAGGAGGTGGCACTGGGAGGTGCTGTCCTGTCTTCCCTTCCCATTTATTTCAGACTGGTCCAGCTGCTTCCCTTACATGCTCAGCTCAGTTCATCTCCCCTCCCTGCTGTCACGCTACTTCACTCACGGGCAACGAGGCACCAGGAGACTCTCCCCTTGCCTATATGTGTCTGTCCTACACAGCAGGTACTTCCCTCCTGCTGCCCAACTGGATGAGTACAGAGGTTGTCCAAATCCCACATTAGACAAGTCTCAGAGGAAAACAAGGAGAGTTTCTGCATCTGTGGTCTTTTGGGTTTCAGATTTCATTTGTAACTCTTAGAGCTTCCAAAGAATCTCACCGTTAGGATTTAGCTTGCCAAATCATGGGTGTTTTTCCTGAAAGAGTTTAAGTTGCTGATATTTTCGTTTCGTTAACGAAATTATTCAAACTTATGCTGCCATTTGTTTTGTTGCCATATATTAGGTGTTTATGAAATGGTTGATAGTACATTTAAGCACTTGGTATTCAGATAGTGTA